ATCGCAATGACATACGAAACCCCAAAGAGTAGTAAGTGTTCAAACCTATACAAAAAATAAGATCATGAATAATTTCAGTAAAGTGTGAAGCTCAATTTAAAGTATAAAATTCATTTGCCATAGTAGAGGATATTCCATATAATAATTGGCAAGTAGTGCCCCATATTTCTTGGGGTCGGTGAAAATGAAATGAATAAGAAAGTGAAATAAAATATTGTATTACTAAACGCGATATGAGATAAATATGCTATGCTGAGAAGTTGTGCAAATAAGCCAAGATGGTCTCCTTTGCACTTACCTATCCTCAATATTATCCCATCATGGCTTTAAATGTGAACTGCAGCCAGACCTTAGCGATTTGCAACATATATTCAGATATTCTGTCTGCTTTCCGCCTCAGACCTAAGCATAGTTTCTCATTAACTGGCACTGCTAGTTTATTTAACGGCGCCTAGAGTCTTAGAGACCAGTTCTGATCGACGAAGCCAGCGGAGTCTTAATAAAATCGTTTTAATTATTGATCAATCAAGACTATGAGTTTCGTGGCCCCGAATGCCTCAAAAAAATCAAATTACGCAATAAGTATACAGATGTCAATGCTGCATAATTTGCATTATGTCACGTAGAAATTTTTAACTACATGTGATTTTGAAATAATGAGCTAGGCTTCATCACATGAAGGAATAATAATAAATTTTAAACTGAGGCGAGGAACGAAAAGGAAAATCCCACAGATGTAATGTATTATGATTCAGGGATAAAGCTCATCAGACTCCCTTGAAGAAGTTAAGAATCATTATTATCTTCAAAATTTAACTGAAAAATCGATACAAATTGTAAGCTATACTATAGGCCAAATAACAAATTGAAAATATGCCTAACAGACCTTGGCGACGACAGGGCTCCCCGCAGATTGTACCATCTGTAGAGGCATGAAAGAAGAGTCCAAAGTGACAATACTATTGTTCTTATTGTCAATGCTTGAAGTAGGAATAACAGCCGTACTAGTAGTAATTGTAGTAGTAGGACTGCCGAGGCAGATACTGCTTGAAGTGCTACCGGATACAAGGCAGGGCGCCGATGAGACCAAAACTGGAGTATGGACAGCTGTAGGTACAAGACTACTGATAGCAGTTGTGTTGGGACCGCCAATATTAGCGGAAATAGAAGTGCTGACAGGTGAGGAGGCATGGTGACTAGGCAAAGAGACGATGCGCACAGCCCCAGATCCCGAAGCCAGTCCAGTTGCAAGAGTTTGCGGACCAAGTCCGAGTTGTGGTGGCAAAGGGCTAATACTAGAGGCTGTAGATACAACAGATGTGGAAGCAGAGGCGCTGGCACAGGTACCAGCAAAACCAACCCCAGAGACAAGTGGAGTGAGTCGGGGAGAGGTCATAATAAGAGGATTTTGTTGACGAGTATTAGAAATGCTGCTGATAGAAGTGGTGGATATTGGAGGTCTGAGCGTACGAGGCATTTGAACATGCAATAAGGGTGTCTGAGAACCAGTCACACTTGCCGGTTGGCAGGGCTGCATAAAAACGTTCAAATTAGCCTGCTGCTGTGGAAGATGGTATACCTGCACCCGATTTTGAGCGTGATGGGTCATATGAGGACTCGAAGATGTAGTTCCGAACAACGTATCAGCAGACCCATCGCCATGGTAGGTGATCACACGGGCCCGCTTTGAGGCCCCTGAGGCTACAGCCTTCCTGGACCACGAAGTAGCACCAAGACTTGTTGAGCGGCCCATGTGCATTGATTGCGATTGTAGCGAATGCGCCTGTTGCACCTGCAGTAGCTGATGTTGCTGAGGTCGTAATTGATTTGAGCCAGCCAAACTTGATATGTCAGCGAGACCTGAGGTCAACATCGATTGGGTCTCGGCCACGAAGTCGGTACAACGACGCCCACGCTGTGCTTGCGATGCGCGGTCACGCGAACTGATCCCACCGCTATCCTCAGAGGCACCACTGTCGAAAGAGTCGTCCTCATCCTCATCCTCGTCTGCAAGCTGCCTGCCTTTACCTCGAGTCAGGCTATCTTCATCCGACGAACTGGTATCATCCTCACTATTCCAGTTCTCAATATCTTCTTCGTCATCTTCTTCCTCGTCCTCTTCATCATCGTCTTCCTCTGATAACGCCTCTCTTCTAGGCTGGCGAGTTTTATTGAGCCTATCTCGACCTCCTTCCAACTCGTCATCATATCCATCCTCTTGTTCATTATTATTTTCCTCCTCTTCGTAGTCGTCGTCCTCGTCATCCTCATCCTCAAGATAACAATCGGCAAAGCGCCTAAATGCACCGTCGCGCCGGACGGCTAAACGAGATAATCGAGCAGCTCTCATCGCTTCGGTCTCAACTTCAGGCAGGCGGCTGGAGTGCACGGTTTCAGCTTCAATCCTGGGACGACTTTTGGGCTGAACTCGGGATCGGAAAAACGTCTTTAGCCGATCTCCTGTGACCGTATCCTCCACTATATTACTCTCGTCTTCAACGTCATCCTCATTCGGACGACCTGAACGTCGACCGGTGGGTCGATCATTTTCTAGTTGCTTTTCATCATCAGTTAGAGCCTCATCAGTTTGGTGAAGAGCGGCGATGGGAACTAGCTCCTCGACAAGGATAGAGATGCTCTTAAGACTGTCACCTAAAAACAGATAAAAGATTTAAGGGCTGAAGAAAGCGTCTGGTGAGTATTGATTATGGTTAATATGAGCAAAAATAGGAATATTATAAAGCATATGATATAAAACCTGTTTTAACAAGATTATGCAAATGAGTAAATCTGGAATAGCCCGATAAAATAGGACATAGTAACCAATTTAGTATCATAAATTCAAAAAAAATATTTCAAGTTTTTGCCCTTATTTAAGAATAAGGTACATCAGGTTATATAAATTAACATTGGTTCAACATTGAACCTAAACAAAGCAAGCAATACCACAACATTTGTGGATTGGCACACAAGAAACTAGGGCATGGGAAGTCATAGACTTGGTATTACGGATAGAAACAGGATAGACGCGACGGAGACTGAAACTAGTTGGCTGACAGTAAGTCTGTTTTTACCACAGACGTGGTCCATGTAGAAAAGGCGTGAACATGAGACTTACTCAGAGGTTTTAGCCTCGAATTAATCACCCAGACTCATGGGGAGGGCGAATAACGCCTCGAGCAGCACAGATGGGGTGGCGGGGGTCGAGTGAAATATGTGAATCAGGGAGAGAGTAGAGAGATCTTACGGGGCAAGAGAGCCTATGATAAGACCTAGGAAAGGAAGACTGCGTAAAAATATGGCAGACTCTGATCAACATTCCCAGCACAAGGGTGAAGGGGGTGAGAACGACAATGTGGAGTGTGAATGGTTTTCATGAAAGCCGCTCAAAGGAGCACACCACACTACATCAAAATAGGCACGGTAAAAATTCAAAAAGTGAAAGCGTGATAGGATATAGGAAATGTGAATAGCCCAGGGCAC